AAATAGAAATTCCTTGCTACACAAAAAACAAAGGAAGAGGATCAACTGATGTTCCCTCCCCCTTCCCCCGTTCATACAGACGTGAGATACATAAATGACTTGTTTATAGAACTGGACATTCAACTTTGCCCAAAATGCTTCATGTCGGTAATAAAAGAAAATATTTTACGATAATGATTTCAAATTTTAATCGGTCATGCAATACAGCCTGCTAGATTATCCCACAGTCTGTCTATTATAGTCACAGTAAAATGTGTAATTTCTTTTTCTTTCTTTTTCTTTTGGCAAAAAAAAAAAAAAAAAAAAAAAAAAAAAAAATACAAAAATGAAATATTATTTCAAATGTAGTTCATTATGACGAGGAAGAGTGATATTTTTATAAGAAAGAATTAAATCCAAACCATGATTATACTTTAAATCTGATGTATATGTTTTCAATATTGAATTACCTGTTTTAAGCTTTAACATTACATGTATTTTGTTTCTGCAGTAAATACAGATCGAATACATTAGGCTATATATTCTTTCTGCAGTAAATACAGATCGAATACATAAGGCTATATATTACCCTATCCACAAATAAAGGGCAAAATATTATTATAAACTGAAAACAAGTTAAGTGTTAAAACTAAAGGGAAGCATATACATACTTTTATTTTTTATCGGTCTTAGTATTAAACTCTACACTTGGAATAAGAAATTTCTTTAAATATTGTAATAAAAATAGACTATATATAATTATATAATTATATCACAATTTTGATGTGTACGCATGAATATCATAATAGTATTATAATTTGTTCTTCGCATAATTTATTAAAATAGAGAATTCATATCTATTGATTTAAAGCAAACACTTGACCATTACATTATCATTGCTATCTGCCGCGGGCTCTACCTGCGGGTACCTGTCAGGTATACGAATACTTCACACCCCCATTGTTTTATTGCCTATACACACCGGCAGATTTCACACCTTTAATCGTCCTAATTTACACAAAGCAAATGCTGGGGAAAAACAAACACAAGCCCAATAAATGCGACATTTTTTTTTTAAATCATTGCCCTAAACGGTATTGCTAAAAGCACACTAAACATTGAGTAGCAATCCCTGCCCTAAGAGATATATTGTACAAAAAAATAAACACAACAGCTAGGGTAAATCCTTAATCTTTCTTCATATGATGTAAACAAACTCTCTTTAATTTTATGTATTTAAGTCAAGATTAAAACATTTTGCACCACCCGGACCTTTAAACTTAGGCGGACCTTTTCTTATACGGGCCGGACCTTTTCTTATAAAAGGCGGACCTTATATGTTATCGTCTTAGGTCCCCTCGGACCTTTAAACGAGGCGGACCAAATATTATGCGACACCGGTCACACCCGCCGTTTGCTCCTTGTCATGGTCAGGAAATAACGGAAAAATCCGCCGACAATATAAATAATGGCCTAACAATTAGTATGAAAAACGTCAGTCAGCATTTGATTCAATGATAAATTGTATTTGCTGACAAGGTCATTGTATCGACCGTAGAGCTTACGAAATGATAAATTTAAACGAGACTGCTCATATTCTTGTTTCATCAACTTGTTTGTCAATAATTTGCCTCGTTTTAGAAATTGTAATACGTAGAGCATCCCTAACAAAAAAATACTATAGTAAACTATAGTTAACTATAGTAAATCAAAGTTCCAGAGTTTTCACTATAGTAAATCAAAGTTCCAAAGTTTTTACTATTAATAGTAAATCAAAGTTCCAAGGTTTTTACTATAGTTAATTAAAGTTTCAAAGTTTTACCTATACTTAATCAAAGTTTCAACGTTTTTTCATTTGTTTAACAACCTATGTATTTTTATTAATTCTTTTTTATTATTTAGCCGTTTTAGGGGAGGGGGGTGATTATGGAGTTGGTTGGGACTGGTTTTTGCTGTACATTTTTGTTTAAATATACAAAGTAGTTAATTTGAATGCAATATTTACATTAATAAATTTTAAAAAAATACATGTTGACTGAAGTTGATGAAGGAGATATTTTAATTATAAATGACACACTTTTTTTCATAATATATTATATTTCTCCATAGATAAGACTTACGTTACATCTGCATAACATTCAAATTAAATACATTGAAATAAATATTGTTTATTTATCGGCGCAAGCAGCAACCTTAACATTAAAATTCATATTTTGTACATTATTCTTCTAGGGGAGGGGTCGGGTTTTTTTAAAATGTCCTCTAACGCTTTTATGAATCTTAAACTCGAAATATCATAAAATGTAAAGAATGGGAATCAAAAACATAATTACACGGGATTTATCGTACTTAAACAAAGTTTCAAAGTTTTTACTATAGTAAATCAAAGTTCCAAAGTTTTTACTATAGTAAATCGAAGTTCCAAAGTTTTTACTATAGTAAATCAAAGTTCCAAAGTTTTCACTATAGTAAATCAAAGTTCCAAAGTTTTTACTATAGTGAATCAAAGTTCCAAAGTGTTTACTTTGGTACTTTGGTTAACTATAGTTAACTATAGTTTACTATAGTATTTTTTATGGATGCTCTTGCGTATCGAATCAACTGAGAGATATAAACCCCGTATGCAGGTGATGAAGGTATATTGCTGCATAAGTAAGGAAAGTTGACAATTGAAAAGTTTAAGTCATCACGTTTTAAATTATCATAAAGCTTTGTTGTTAGATTACCATTAACGTCTTTTTCAAGTAAAATATCCAAATATGAAACAAATATGTCAGACTCTGTAGTATCTTTTATCTCAAGCTCACCGGGATATCTCGTATTGACATAAGAATGGAAATAAGCATTGTTAATTGACAATAGGTCGTCGATATATCTAAATGTCGAGTTGAAGGCCACAGCACGTGTTTTCTTCTTTTCACGTATAAGATTTTGGACAAACTCTGCTTCATATGAATACAAGAAAAGGTCTGCTAACTACAAGGCGCAATTGGTACCCATGAGAATTCCAATAGATCGTTGGAAGACCTGGTCTCCAAAAGCCACATAGATATTGTCAATCAGAAACTCAAGCATCTTTTAAATGTCAACTTCAGAGTACTTGTGTGTACAATCAGAATGTTTTTTTTAACAAAATAATTTTGCAAATGACCAATGACAAGGTAAGTAATTTTACGAGTTCCATTTTTATTGAAAAAGCAGCTGTCAATGATATTAGAAAGCCTGGATTCTAATTTATCGTGGGGAATGGTTGTGTATAAAGTTGAAAAGTCATAAGTTTCTAAACTGTTAATTTTGGTAAAATCTTGTGATTTCAAATTTTCCAAAAGTTCCTTGGAATTTTTAAGTATCCACATCTGATATACACCACTTCTCGAATATTTGTTGCACAGTACTCTTAAAACATGTTTAATTGTATTTTTTATGCAAGTTCTTTACAGCCAAATAATCACTCAGAGCAGAGTGCGACTCAGGGATCATTTTATCCGGTGCATGTCTGTCTGTCCGTCTTTCACACCCTATATCTTGAAAATTGTAAAAGGTAAGGATTTGATAATTTGCACATAAATTGCTTGGCACTTTGGCTTCTGTAAAATACCGTGGTTACCGATCTCGTGACCACTGAACTTGATATTTGACCTACTTTACAAAATAGTTCGTTGTGCCGATACAAAGGATATTTTTGATATTTAAGTGGTAAGTCTTTGCTATTTAGTATCTGCACTGTTTCCCATAAAACATGGAAATTATCAGCATTACACTCCACTTGTTCTTTGTTCTAGGTACTTTGTAAAAATACCCCGTACGTTGATTTAACTTGTGTCTTTTGAATTTTTTTAGGCAGGGTTTTGATAACTAGTATTTATACATGTATCACATGTTATGAGCTCATGACACTGTAATTTGTAAACGGTATGCTATACAGTTATTACTGAATACGCTGACAATACATCGAGCTCGGTATACAAAAAGAATCGTTGTAGACTGACAATTGTTTTAAGACAGACTGTAATCTCTTTTGAAGGATAGTTGGATAATAAATTAGCATAGAGGGTTTGAGAATCATATGTCTATTTGAATGTCAAATTTTAAATGATGATCCGTTTTTTTTTTGTTTTTTTTTTTGCAGGCAAATGCCTGAACTATAACGCTTATAGCAAATAAAAAGCTGACCACCCATATATTTATTTTAATCTTTAATGATCTTCCATCGTTAAGTCGAATACTGAATGACGTTTCTCATACAAATTGTTAGGCCATTTTTTTTTCTATGTCAATGAAGTTTTCAGTTTGCCGATCATGACAAGGGGCACACGGCGGGTTGTGACCTACCAACATTGGATGCTATAACTCCTTCCATGGCAGCTGACCCCACCTCTAATATTTTGGGCGGTCTGTGTTAGCTCTGCTCCTAATTTGTATTGTTCTGTTGGACTTTGAGCTTGATCACTGTTCGTTATCTTTATATTTCATTTAATAACATTCAATAAAAATCATACACAGTGTGTTTCTGGAAAACACCTAAAGGTTTCTTGGTGCGACTCATTCTCGTTGATTAGGTTATTGAATTATATATCAAAACGTTTTTGAAAGATGCTTTTCATACAATGCATCTTTAACAAGAAAAATACTACGACTTTAAATCCATAATTTCTTATCTTTATTTCTCACCTGCTACACTTTTGAAAAAGAAAACATGCATATACATAGCTCAAAAATAAAATGGCAATTTCAATTCAACCAAACTGCTTGAAAAAAAATTTCTGCTCTCTAAACATCTCAATAGAATAATAAAAATGACCAAAGGGCCCAGTCTTCTATTCCACCATATTTCAAGTTGAAGTCAGTAAAACATCCATATATGAACCATATGATTTCGATTTTACTGCAATTACACATCTAATTAGAAGAAACAATTGAAATACCTTAGAAGAAACCTAAGTATTTGCCTAAGATAAATGCACATACAGATGCAAAAACCCAGAGAAAGCTTCCTTCGCTCTGATTGTTGTTCACAATACGTATTCTTTCTTCCTTTCTAGCGTCCAAGCGCATTTTATTCATTTCAGATTCTGTATACCCTTTGCCGGTTTCCATGTTTTTTTTAACATACTCTTCTTGCTTCTGTCTATGTATAGCCTCGGCTTTTTCGTACATCTCATTCGTGTAACCTTTATTATTGTTCTTTTTGTTCATGTCTTCAATAATCTTGATAATTTGTTTGACCTCGTTCTCGCGTTTGATTGTGTTTCCCCCCATCCCTATGGCTGTGTATCTGCCGTTTATCTCGTCTAGAAGGATTTTCAGACTAGATTTGCTATCGTATGTTTCGACGTAACTTTCTATCGATGTGCCTTCATCATCTAAGTTATCTTTACCGGTAAACACTACCATGAGGTAATTCTTGACATCTTTTCCAAATACCTCTAAGAAGAAATCGACGGTAGTTTTCTCCTCATCCGTAAATCTTCCAATTTGAACAATTAACAGAATAGCATGTATACCTGGTGAAGTGATTCCAAAACACTTCATAATTTCAAGTTTTACGTCTTCATTTGTTTTATTGGTATCAAAAAGACCCGGAGTATCAACAACGAGAAGATTTTTCTGAAAGCGTTCAGAAGAATTAAATTGGACTTGGTTTGTAACTGATGTGGCAGAGGTCTTTGTGTCAAATGCTCTGAATCCGAGAATGGTGTTTCCAGTTGTACTCTTGCCCACTCCGGTTTTTCCAATAAGCAGCATTCGAATTTCATTATCTGGTATACCTGCAGTCAAGGAACTAAGGTTTTGTATTAATTTAATACCAATCATTGTTACTACACAGTATTAGTAAAGGTATGCATCATATTGTATGATATTATGAGCAATTCTGAAAATTTATTCAGAGTTTTCAAAGTTTCTAATGCAGTTTTGTTATACCTGCATAAAATATATTACAAAATAAGCAAACAAATTTGCCCCGTTTTAAATTCGCCCAGTCACAATTCTGTTTAAGAAACTATAGTGTGTTTTTTGCACCCCATCTTTTTTGCACGAAGATATATATCAACGCAATGTCAAAGGTATAATTTAATTAGTTTCTTCTAAGTATTATACTACTACCGGTAATAAGTTTAAATATCAGACCTTGTTCATTGATTGATTTATTGATTGTTGTTTAACGTCCCATTTGAGAATTTTTCACTCATAGAGACGACACCATATACCGGTGAAGGGCTTCAAATTTTGACCTTTACTCGGCACTCATGGCCATTGAGCAGTGAGGGATCTTTATCGTGCCAACGCCTGCCGTGACACGGGGCCTCAGTTTTTAAGGTCTCATCCAAAGGACCCGCAACTTTCACTTCAAAGTGCCGGGCGCATGGCGAAGGAACAGTTGCTACCCATTTTTTAGCGACTTAGGTCAGTCGCGGCCGTGATTCGAACTCACAACCTCCCGATCACTGAACGAGCGCTCTACCGACTGATATACCGTGAACGGTCAGACCTTGTTTAGCATAAACCTATTTTATTAATGTTTGAAACAATTTTTCTATTACCTTTGACTGCATAAATGCACCGATGGCAAGAGTACCTAAGATACCAAGTCTGTAAGTAACTTTATGCAAAATACACAAAAACGAATTCGACAACTTCATCTTTATGTCGATCCATGCAAAATTGTAAAAGTTTCGTCCATGTACTAGGACACTCCCCTCAAAGTTTTAGTAATCCGTTCTCAAATATGGACTGAGAGACAGGCGAACACAGGTGAACAGTCTCCTGCAAACCTCTTCATTGAATGTCTGGACCTTTTATTGCTTACAAAACTAGCATTTGAGAACTGGAATTTCGATTAAACTCTGCTTCCATCATTTTGTCAAGTTTTCTCCATTATATATCATTGTTTTTTTTAATTGTGCTAGAGTGTAATATTTTCTTTTTTCATTAAGGGAGTGGTCGCCCGCGTGGCGCAGTGGTTAGAGCGTCTGCTCTAGAGTAAGGCGTAAGGAGTTGATCCTTACGTCGCGGGTTCGAATCCCACTGTGGGACGTGGAGACGTCCTTCAGATGAGACCGTATAAACCGAGGTCCCGTGTCGCAGTAGGTGCTGGCACGAAAAAGATCCCTCACTGCTCAATGACCGTAAGTGCCGAGTATAGGACAAAAATTTGCAGCTCTCCATCGGCAAGTGGTGGCGTCTCCATATGAGTAAAAATTTCTCGAGAGGGACGTTAAACAACATACAAACAAACAAACATTAAGGGAGTGTATTAAATGTTCATGGTGGAAGGGAGCCTCTTGACCTTTAAACCTTCCCTTCATGTATCGAAGAAACTTCAAATCTAACACGACATGCATTTTTTTCGTAGTGATATAAGATATAACCATGTGCCTGTAAGATTAGAAAGAAAACAAGTTGGAAGAAATCGGCGAAAAACATCAAATCTCTGAAATCGCTAATTTTAATTGAGAGTTTTTAAGTACTGTTAAGGTTTAAAATAAAATCGTTCATTTCAATCCACTGCAGTATTTTTTGCTATTTGTAAAATCCTTGAAGGAAGGTGTATATGTGTTGAATCTTCCCTTTTAACTTTATGAGTGTCGAATGTTCTGCTCAGCGATTTAGCAACAGCTCATTTATACCAACCAGAAGGTCTACTCATACTGCATTGCTGATTTCCATTTTCTAAAATACGATATTATTGTATTTGTTAAGTTTGAACAAAACGATAATGAAAATAAAATTCACAAATTTCTCATTTTTAAAGTATATATTTCACTCACCGTCATATTCACAATGCCATGAAAATGCTCCGAACGTTACCGTACTAAGGATAAAGAGCGAAATATTTACCGCTGTCAATTTGTTGGACATCTTTGCTTGAGCTTAACTAGAGAAATTAATTAATAACCTACTTAAATTCTTTTCGTTTTTTGCCTTATAAAATGAATTTTATTTACAATTTCATTAGCCAAATTTCATTATACCCGTAATTATATATATATATATATATATATATATATATATATATATATATATATATATATATGTGTGTGTGTGTGTGTGTGAGGGTGTGTGTGTGTGTGTGTGTGTGTGTGTGTGTGTATAGATATTTTTAAAGAAGATACGTATTTTTATTTATCGAAAGTGTGAATAGACGATGTTCACAAAATTTTCATTTTAAAGAAATCATAGCAAAAAATTTAATTGAAATAAGAGAAGTTACTTACTTTTCTTCTTGGTGTTCCAGATGGATCTGAAGCAAAGAAATGAAAAACAGTGTAGAATTATTCCAAATACGACTGTTCTATTTTTATTCCAGGTATTACCGTCTTAAAATTAGCTGTTTGGATTTTCTGGGAACGTTTTTTAAAATATATTTAAGGGAAAATCCACGTAAGGTCGCAAAGAATTTTTCGAAAACAATGAAACATTTTGCTACCTTGCAAAGACATCCTTAAATTTTTTTCCATAGTTTAATTATCAATCTGAAATAGAAAATCATTATTGCACAAGTGCATGGTAAAAATTGCATTTCTATGTTTAATTTACTATGCCTTTGTTTGTCTCAAATGACTACAAATAAACTTGCATCTTTAAGAGTAGAAACATAACCTTCATTTCTAATGGTAGAGATTAATGTCATAGGTATACTTTAATAAAAAATGTTGTAGTTAATGATTTTAATAAAGTTTAAATTCGCAGATTATTTCATTTCTTGATGTTTTGATAAATTGTTCCTTTTGTGTAATGTCATGGTAAATATTTCCAGTATAAATTAGGCCCCGCCTCCTTGTACTTCACCTTAACTGTGCTGCGAAACTGAATGTTATACACATCGATTACTTGTGACGTCATTGTGAAATTATGCAGAAATAGCATTGTTAATGTTATATAAGGGAGAATTTTTCAAATGTAAATATTTATTATTATATAGCAAATTATTTATTCGATATTAAAATGCATTAATATAAAATTAAAAATTAGCTACTTATAATTATAATTTATTGATTTGTAGTTACAAATTTTAAGTAACAGATTTTTGAAAATGTAATTTCAAATTAATAATGTTTGATTTCAAACAAATAATTTGAAATTTCAAATATCATGTTATATCAAATTGATAATGTGTTTTTTGAAATTAATGAATACTTTTTTCAGATTAATCATTTGTTTTGTTAATTAGTATTTTGCTATTTCAAATCATTAATTTGTATTTCAAAAATTAAGAAAAGGGTCAATAGAATCTTCCCTACACTGCTTTCTGTTAATTACAATGTTATATTGCAACAAGTGTTTGCGTAGAGGTGAGATAGATAATTAAACTCGACTGATTTTTGGAAGTATATTTAATAGCATTCAATAAAAATCATACACAGTGTGCTCCGCAAAAAATCTAAAGGTTTTTTGGCGCGACACATTTTTCTTGGACTAGTTTATTGGTTTATATATACCAAAAGATTACCATCTCCTTTGTAATGTTTTTTTTAAAAGATGCATGTCATACAATGACTATCAACCAGAAAAATGACGGGTTTTCCGTGATTCCTCTACCAAACAAAGATATTGTAAAGGACACAAAAATACATAGATTGGATAAAATTCCATCCTGCATATTGTTATTAGTGACTTTTATTGCATCACTTAACTTTCCTTTATTTCCTTTCTTTTCTTTTTTGCATTTCGTTGCGTTCTTTGAGAAAAAGCCTCTGCCTTCTAAACATCTCATTAGTATAATAAGAATGACCATTCTCTCTCTTCATCTCTTCAATCATTGCAAGGATGTATTTAACTTCTGCTTTGCGGTCTGCTGGATTGCCCCTATACCCAATTGCAGTATACCTTCCATCGATATTATCAATAAGAATTCGTAAATTTGAAGTCTTTTTTAATGTGTTGACATAGACTTTAACAGTCATTTTATCACGATCTAGTCGATCTTTTCCAGTGAAAACTATAAGCAAATATTTTTTGACATCCTGTCCAAAGGCATTCAAGTAGAAATCCACAGTGTCCTGTTCTTCAGTTGTATACCGTCCTATTTGCAGAACCAGTATAATTGCATGGAATCCAGGAGATATGATTCCAAAACATTTTGATATTTCCAATATAACTTCTTGGTTTGTTTTGTTCATGTCATATAAACCAGGTGTATCGACAACTATCACATTTTTATTGAACCGTTTTGCTATATGAAACTGTGTTTTTTTGGTCACTGAGCTTCCGGAAAGCTTGGCGGGGAATGCCTCAAATCCAAGTATAGTGTTGCCAGTCGTGCTTTTCCCCACACCAGTTTTTCCAATAAGTAGAATTCTGATATCATTATCCCCATTGATACCTACATGTAAATAAAGATGAGTGATTGGAAAATTTATCGCTTTTCTGCATGAATAAATTAAACTTATGATAAACTTATAATATGATACATATGGTTGTAAGTTTCAAATAAAAAATGACAAAGTAACCACTGATTCTTAATTTAGATTGTTTGTGCATCAGGCAGAATCTAATGTTTATCCAAGTTTTATTCAAACATAGCAGACCCGACTGTACTGTATGCAGTGCATATTCTAAGTTACTGACGATAAAACAAATACAACATGTGCAAAATTAGTAATACAGTTTATGAACGTGTTATTTGTTTTCTGAGTAATACATTATTAATAATGTAATCAAAGATTGAGTAAAAAAATCTTATCAATTATCTAATCATACTGTAAAAGAAATCAACATTAACGTCCACTATATAAACGTCATCATACTTACATCTTGATGCCCCAATCCCTAAAATGAAAATCCCAGCAATGAGGAGGAGAATCTTTTGTCTGCCAGTAATCACCGACATCGTCATGTTAAATTTTTCTGTGTCTGTGACATGAATTAAACACTTTCTACCTTAACCAGAAACGATATTAATGTATGTATTTGAATTTCATTCATTGATATGAAACTCACAATAAAAAATAAAATTGTCGGTGTACAAAAGAAAAGAAAAGGACAAATTTCACTTAACGTAGATTAAACGATGCTACTTTCTTAGAGAGAGAAGTTTCTGAGAAAAATATCCTTCAATATTTTGTGAGTTCTGTTTTTGTATGTTTAAGCTTACCTTTCTGTAAATAGTCTGCATTTCCAAAAACTCAGCTTAATTTGGCCTTTAACTATATCTATTTTTAGAATGTGGAAACTCCAAGATTTTACTCCACAGTTATTAGTAAATAAAGCCGCATCGATCCGTGTACATACAATTAATCAATTATTTTTTTTTTCATTGTTCTTGTATGGAAGGCTGTTCTTTGCCGATTTTATCTTTAAAAACTATTTTGAGCAGGTAATGGTAAATATTTGTTTAGATGTACTTTGGAGATATGTATGTGTTCAACTGAAAAAAAAAATATTTTCAATGTTAAATATTCTGCATATAAGTGCTCAACTTATAATAAACATATACCTCATTATTTGCACACTGAATTGTCTACGGATTTTTTCCGTTTGCCCAATACTGACAAGGGGCACACAGCGGGTGTGGCCTGAAGACGGGGATGCTTACTCCTCAATGGATGATCCCACCTCAGAGGTTTTTAGAGATCTGCGTTTGCTTTGCTCCAAATTTGTATTGTTTCAATAAACTTTGTAAGTTGATTACTATTCGTAATCTTCATATTTCATCCGATACTATTCCGCAATATATATAAATGTGTGTTTAAATCAGTATACTTATTTTGCAATAGGAGTTTACTTGCAAATAAGAATTTTTTATAGAAATATATTTATTTTTTCAAAAAAAAAAAAGTTATAGATATATTTTGTATTGTTAAAAGAATCCTATATAGAAATAACTGATATTTGTGTATTATTCGTAAAATATATTACATATAAATTGTACTAGCATATTTGTGTGCTCGATATTATTCTAATATATATTTATTAATTTTATACTTCTTTTCTGCAATACTAGTAATTACAAGAATAAGTTATCATGATCACTGTCATGGTTATTGGAAGTACATTCTCTTCTTTTCTATCATTAAAACGATAGTTAAAATAAGCATACACAGGCACATAAATTCGAACTAAGATATATGTAAAAGTAGTTTAACGCTATTAAAACTTGAAGAAAGGCTTTTATTCAAATTGTTCATAGGCAAGTCTTTGTTTTGGTATCAATACTCATTCATAATGTCAAGTATTGCAACTAGAGAGGATATCAATATTAATATTATACTTTAATATAATATATGATATAAATTAAACCATTAAAATATGTTAAATACACTGGTAAAGTTGTCTGTAATGTAATTTTTAAAACATCAATGGTTATAAGAGTCCCATTTTGTGTTAAAGTGATTAAAAGTATAAAACTTTAAGAGATATATATTGCTCCGACTGTGTGTGTTGTCTGTGTTTTTGCAAGTATGCTGATAAATATTACATATGCATAAATAAGTCTTCTTAATAATTTATACGAACACTAGAAGAAGGCCATTTCCTTTTTTTCTCTCCGAAAATAATAATATTTCAAAGCAGCTACCATATATGATCTAGGTTTTGCCAGAGCTTCAACTGCGGATAGTTCTGTCATACATTCTTACGTTTTACCATATGAGAATGTTTTTTGTTTGTTTATTGTTTAACGTCCCTCTCGAGAATTTTTCACTCATATGGAGACGCCACCACTTGCCGGTGGAGAGCTACAAATTTTGACCTATACACGGTACTTAGGGCCATTGAGCAGTGAGGGATCTTTATCGTGCCACCACGTACTGCGACACGGGACCTCGGTTTATATGGTCTCATGCGAAGGACCGGTCTCCACGTCCCACAGTGGGATTCGAACCCGCGACGTAAAGATCGATTCCTAAATCCGCGACTCTAGAGCGAACGCTCTAGCCACTGCGCCACGCAGGCTACCATATGAGAATGTAATTAAGTCATTATTTCGGATTGTTTTCGTTTTTTCTGTTATCATTACTGAATAGTGCATTAAGTGAATACAGGTATAGAATCAAATCAAAATTCTAACTGGAACAAGAAATGTACTTACTTTCCTACCAATGTTTTGGATGAAGTAAAGAAATAAAACAGCACGGGATTATTCCGTTTGCTCTATTTTTACCCCTTTATTTACCGCTTTAAGAACAGCAGACTGGATTTTCAGAAAATGATCAATGATTTGTAAATGCTATTTTTAGATTACGTGTACATAGTATTTCCTTATATAAATTGCAAATGTGCTTTTAAATCGATTAAATCGATTAGACATTCTCAGGTCATGCTGCACAAAATACCATCTTTCAATAATTTAACATAATGCTTGAGACGCAAACAACGCCGATTTAGCATCATTAGTCTTTAAAATTAAATTAAAATAGACGAATCTTATATTGCAGTTAGCTATACCTATTCATCTCAATCCTGAAAAAAGCGAGTGAAATATTATATGTTACAATGTACAGTAGTGCATACAACTACTGTTTAGTCTAGATTATAATTCCTTCCATACATATACTGATATCATCTTTGTGATTAGCAACAAAGGTATACATAGTATAGTACACATGTAATCAACAAAGGTACACGTACACATGTATACAAATAATACAAGATGTGTTTGTGAAACACTGATGCCCCCGTATGGCAGCTTATGGCGAAGGTTAAAGTTTCTCAAATGCAAGTAAAAAGCCAGGCCAAAAGATAAAAAATATTAAATTTGAAAGGCCTAGCTGCAATTGTTCAAAAGTTATGGCGAAGGTTAAAGTTTTTTAAAAGTAAGTAAAACATCAAGGTCAAGGTAAAAGTTGTTGGTATCTAAATGAAGGTCTTGTCACAAGGATTACATATGTAAAGTATGAAAGCCCTAGCACCAACCATTCAAAAGTTATGGCCAAGGTTAAAGTTTTTCGAAAGTAGGTCAAACTCCTATGTCAAGGTCAAAGGGTCAAAGTGGTTGGTATCCAGAGGAAGGTCTTGTCACAAGGAATACACATGTGAAGTTTGAAACCCCAAGCACCAACTGTTCAAAAGGTACGGCCAAGGTTAAAGTTTTTCAAAAGTAGGTAAAACTCCAAGGTCAAGGTCAAAAGGTCAAAGTTGTTGGTATCCAAAGGAAGGCCTTGTCACAAATTATACACATGTGAAGTTTGAAACCCCAAGCACCAACTGTTCAGAAGTTATGGCCAAGGTTAAAGTCTCATAAAATTTTGCAAAAGTGGGTCAAACTCCAAGGTCAAGGTCAAAAGGTCAAATATGATGGTACCCAAAGAAAGGTCTTGTCACAAGGAATACACATGTGAAATATGAAAGTCATAGCTCCAACCAATCAAAAGTTATGGGCAAGGTTAAAATTGACAACAGACAGACAGACAAACAGATAAACAGACAAACAGACAGACAGGACAAAAACAATATACCCCCGGGATCTTTCGATCCTGGGGCATAAAAAAATAGAACTGATGTGTCTTGTCAATTAGTTTTGTTCGCTTTCATGCAGACAAACATGGTTCTTTCATTCAACGTCCATTCGACCGACTGCCTACCTTTAAAATGGAACAGTCTCTCATAATAAATAATAAACTTTATAAACACATTTCATAAAAACTTCCTAAAATTTGTATCAGGTAAGATTCAACTTCTGTAGACTTTCTATAAACCCAAGAGTTTTAAAAGTTAATACAAAAGAATTGTCAAATATATAAGAAATCAATCTAGGCCAGATACTAAGATAGTAATTTGTAATTGATCATTCTTTCCCAATTACATCTATTTGTAATTGTACTTTAATGAATTACACATAGATATACCCTGTAATTTGAATAACCTTTCAATTACTTTAACTAATATTCGCATGATTTAAAGAAAAATATGTCCCTAACACAGCAACATTTTACTATCTTTTTCGTCATTTAAAACATCAATCCTTCAGTTATAAAAATCTGAAAATAATAGTTACAGGGCAGAGAAACTACGTCATATAGGGTTATCGCTTAAGTTTTCAATGGCGGACTTTTCGAGCGCCTCGAGGTAAGTTTTTCTTTCAATTTATCTAATTTTAAGTGAAGAGGTCAAAATAATTTCAGGCAAAGTACTTCAACGACTTTATGAGATGTGTTGGCATATTTAAATGACTGAAAAAGCCAGTATTTATCGTCACAACCCCTGGCAAACTTGAAAAGATGTGAGGTTATCGCCAACAATAACATGCCGCTTTTGACAGATGCAGGTGATAGCATAGTTATTCAGAACTATGTTCAAAATATCTATCGAGATTTTAGTTATAAATACAATTACCTTGAACGTAGGATTATTTTCTTCTAAAATTAACATGCAACTGTTGGCAAACAATTAAAATTTTAAAAAGGTTGTCGCTCACATAGGTTTGATTCGAGGTTATCGCGCACATAATTATTCGTATCATATATAGCATTGCTGTGTCTTGGAAAATTTATTTCTTTGACTGATACTTCAGAATAAATTAATATTTTGAGTAACGTTGTTTATTTCTCACTAGATCCAGTTTTCCTTTGTAAGTTCTGCGGGAAATTTTCGTCTCTGAAACAACATGAAGACAGACATTCTAAAACAGAACATTCTCACCGTGTATATCCCAACATACGGGGTGTATGCTACATGTATGTTGTGCACGGTGTGTGTGCTTTCGAAGCGATAGAAAGCGGTTCAAGGGTATGTTTTTGTCCAATTTCTCAATTTATGGATAAATTTCGCTGGAAAGCAAAATCGTCATCTAGGGAGTATATGGATACCTATGAATCCACTGTACACTTTCTAGTTTTATCAAACACCCCAACACAATTCCGAGTAACAGCGCAAGGTTGACGCTACATTGTGTTTATG